ATTAAAACAAATTCTCAGACACACAAGCTCTCAGAAAAATTTATTATCCACAGACACTCTCTGGTGGAGGAAGGAGGGAAAACAAAAGAAAAGCTACCAGAGGACGTACTCCAGCAAGAAGAAAAATGAATCCAAAAGGTAATCAAGTAGCAAAGGAGAATGTATTCATGTTTTATTTTTGTAATTAAAAAGTAATTTTTGGAAAGGTTGGGGAGAAAGGAAGGTATGAAACACAATTTAAGTCTTTACTTTTCTTTCCATTTCATGTTACCTTTGCATAATATGGCATTAAAGTTTACAAACTGCTTTTGGATAAATTGCCAAGAGCCAGAATCACAGGACCTACCAAAATATGTTTTAAGAAGAACCGTGTTGGGACAAATAGTAATTCCGATAAAACTTGGAAATGCACTCCCTGAGTGTAGTATCGCACTTCTTGCCATGGAAGCTGGCTGCCTTACACCAGTCGTCATGATGACAGTGACAGCGGGTCTCAGGAGGAGTGAGGAACATCCGATTTAGCAGACTGATTGCCCTTCTTACTCTGCCGACCAAGTTGGACTAGATTATGAATTAGTAGAGAAGGAGACGAATGGAGGTAAGGACTTGAAAATTTCAGACCAGCTGAGGCACTGAAAAGGGAACTCATTAGAGGTCCAGGCTGAGGTCTGTGGACTAGAGGCCTGTGGCTGCCAGCGTGCAGCAGGAGGGACCAGCTTTGCGCAAGAGGCCGGCTAATGAAAGATCTTAGGCTCCACAAGGCTTCTGTGGAGATGTTCATGGTACTACTGCCTATGTCAGATGCCATGAATTTAGGGTTTGGAATCTCTCGCTTGACTTTTTTTTACGCCATCCCAGTGTGTGCCAAAAAAACAGCAGCTGCCAAAAAGCAAACATTTTCCTGTCTCTAAAAATAAAATGCTGGCAACACTTCAGGCCCCTGTGCCAAGACCTGGCCCTTCCCAGGATAAACAATAGGTGGCCAAGCTGATCAGAGGCAAGCACTGAGCCCTGAAGTAGGCCTAGGTTCAGCCTCGAATGCCAAGGTCAGGGCATGTGCCGCTGTAAAGTTAGAGGTAGCCCTCCCTCCTCCACAGCTGATGGAGGGCAGCTGCTGCCCACCTCCCCACCAGGGGCCAGGTGTGGCTGACAGGAGACAGCCTCGGGTTACACCAGAAACCTTGACCCAGCTGAGGTCACACAGCTCAAACCAACCCCTGCCCCCAGGGCCCCAGGGTGCATGGTGACAGATCTGAGATCCTGCCCAGAGACAGCTCCCTGGGAAGGAAAGTTTCATAAGTACCCATCAGCATTCGTGACTCAGGGCTGTGCCATCACCTGTCAAAACCCCTCATGCCCAGCTGAGAGCCTTCACCTGCTGGACACAGGCCCAACCAAATGACCTTAGTGTGTGAGTACTATAATAACAGTATTGTTCCCACTCTAATTGCCTCCCAGCCCATCAAATGCTTCTACAGCGCTTGTTCAAGGCCCTCTGCCTTGTCATTAGGGTTCAAATCCTCCCTAGACCATAAGCTTGGCTTTTTGCAGGTTTGGGTTAGGGGAGGAGAGAGACTAAATATAGCAAATATTTGCAGGCATAATCACTCCATAAACATGCTTCAGTGGAAGAGAGTGTGGGGCTGACCCAGGTGACGGATGTCACTCACCCTAGTGTCACATCCTAAATAAAACTGAATGAGCCCATTCTCCTGCAGAACCAGTGACGCCTGTTCACACTATAAATATTTATGAAGTCATGGTCCTTAAAAGACTTTATTTTTCCAGGTAAGTAGACTTTAATGAAAAAGTTAAGCAAAGCTTTTCCTGCAATTATGGAATAGTCACTGTAGCTTTTCAGTGGGTATTGCATGGAAAGGAAAAGAAAAAAAGAAAGAAGAAAAGGAAAAGTAAGCCCCCTTCCATGGGGCTGCTGCATGGAGATCTCATTTATGCCAGTCAAGGTTCATTCTCATTCAAAAAGTGACAGCCTTGTCTGGAGTGGCAGAAACCAGAAGAAGCGCTAGCAGTCCCAATCAACCCAGGCCTGTGTAATGAAGGGAGCACAAACAGATCCTTGTCACCCAAGTTCAGACCCCTCCCACCACCTCTGCTGGGAGAGACATTCTCCTTAGCGTGCTCAGCTCTCTCAGCCTGTCTCTTAGTAACCGAAAAAACGTACACCTCACCCCGTTACTATGCTCATTTGAAAAGAATTCTCAGAATGTGAGGATGTGTGCCTGGGTGTCTCTGGGTGTTTATGTAAAGTCCACCTCTCCTGCTCTGAGTTACTCCTCCTTACTGCATAAGCAATGGCACCCCAGGACGCCCGCCAGAATCTGACCAGGTTCTCCTGCGTTCTTCACCATGCACCACTGCAAAGAAACACCCCTTGGGCTCCCAGCAGCACAGCCACACTCCCCTCCTCCAAGGCCCTGTGGCAATCCTGCCACCTGGAGCTCCCAAGCCATTGTCTCCAAAACAATACACGCTAATTTTCATGACACTTTGCAGTTTACATGTTACTCATCTCTTCAATGCATCAAAACCTTTGCCCAAGTCCATCAAGACTGTTTCTTTCCCAGGGATGGCCTTCTGCCCAGGCTCCCTTCCCCTCCTAACCTCAGGGTGGCCCCTGCTCTGTCAGACTGAACTGGCCCCATTGGGAAAAGTTGAAGATCTTCTGGCCATAGCCTCCGGGAAGTCTTGTTCCGTAAGGAACAAGAGTCTCTAGTTTTGTGAAGTGAGTCACAAGCTGTCTTGCCTGTGCCTATCTGGGGAGGCCAGGGCTGCCATGTATGGTCTGTGCTCTGTGCCACCCACCTCTCCGTGTACATCGGAGTTCCTTGCCAGGACAGCCTGAGTCATAAAACTCAGCACATTCCTTAGGCGTTGGATAGCCTTTCCTTGTTATTACATTGCTTTTGTTTTATGCAGCACCTGGTTTCATTTTAAAAACCCAAATAAAATCTCATGATTGGGTTGGGTGGAGTAGGGGGATAGGAAGGAAAGAAAAAGAGAAAGAAGGAGGGCAGCCTAGGTTAGGGGAAGGAAGAAAGGGCTGTCACTCCCCAAAACAGGCAAGACCCAGAGAGTGAGTGAACTGCAGAGGAAAGGGCAGGAGAGAGAGAGAGGATGTGCTACAATTTAATTGAATTTGATCAAAGTCCTTTTGGCTGTGTGTGATAAAGCACTTAATGTTTAGGTCTCTTCCCCAAATTAGGCCCAAGTACTCAAAGATTTAGTACTCTACTCATCAGCCACTTGACCTTCCCTAAGTCTCCCCGCTTTCTGAGTCTCCTCAATAAAATGACAGACTTACTTTCTATGAATTCCAAGGAACTTTCCAGTTATAACACTCTATGACTCTATGAGCCAGCCTGTTCCCTTTTTTCTTGGACCACAAACCCCAAGCCATGTGTAAGGGACTACTTTTCCACAAGCTAATATTTATTTTTTGTCTTTAGGGGGTAGAGGATCGGGGGACAGCAGCAGGGGAAGGTGTAGACCCAACCATACAAATGTTGCTGGTCAAACCGAATTTCTGTGGCCAGGTTATTTTGTAAAATCATCTGTAAAGCTGTTAACATAGAGTTTTAGAATTAAAACATAATAAGCTATGCCTTGCATACAGTAAAAAAACAAAACACTGAATGAATAATACCCACTAACCTGGAGAAGTGTATTTTCTTGGAGTAGTAAAACATATTAATTACAGTACAAGACCAGGACCATTAGGCACTGGACTCAGAACTTCAACGGAGGCCTTCACCTCCCTCTGCCTGAGATTCTCTAAACGAGGCTGGCCAGGGCAAAAATCTTGGAGGTTCCTGAGTGGCTCCAAGGCTGCATTTTCAACGCACGGTTTGGCGAGCCTAATGGAAACCATACGAAGTGATCCCAGGAATCAGACCAGATGGCTTCCCGGGAATGCATTTAGCCTAACCTGGGCTAAGGAACAAAAAGAACCACTAGGAGGTTTTTTGGGGGGGAGGGCGGGGTGGTGGTGGTGCGACTTTTAATTACCTTTAATATTCAACAGAAATCATAAAGAGAAGGACATTCTTGGTAAGTGGGAGTAAATGGAGCAGGGGGCAGGGAGCCGGGCGGGGGTGGGGAGGAAGAAGGGGTAGGAGGCGGCTACTTTCGTAAGCACACGTGGTTCTGCCTCCCCTCCTAGAACAGCAGCTGCTGGGGCCCTCTGCCGCCCTGGCCGGCGGCGGGCTGCTTCCCGCGCGCAGGGCTCCGCGCCGCCCCGCCGCGCCTGGGCCCTCCCTCCAGCGCGCTGCGCAGGGCGGGGGAGGACGGTGGATGGGGGGAAGAGGCGGACCGTGGGGGGGATGCAGCGGCAGGGGGGTGGTAGAAGGAGCAGGAGGCGGCGGACCGTGGCTGCGGACGAGGAGGATGGTGGCAGGAGGAGGAGGATCTGGGAGGAGAGGGGAGGCGATCCGAAGGGAGGAGGTGGCCGTGGATGGGGCGGGCCGTGGGCGGGGCTTAAGGGACGCGCGGCCCCACCAAAGAGAGCCGGGCCGGGACAGGCCGCGGTCCCCTCGCCCCCAGGCTCCCTCTCCCACCGCGCCTCGAGTCGCCCCCGCCCGCTCGACGGCCGGAGCCAGTTTGCTTGCCGGCGGCGGAGCCCCGCGCGGAGGGAAACCTGGCGGTGGAGGGCTGTGGATCTGCTGGGCGACTGCTCTGAATACAAAAACGCCTTTCTCACGGCCCTGCGCCCTTCCGGGGCTCCCAGATGCAAGGGACTGGCTCTTTGAAGCTGGAACCCACAGCTGTGGGGGCCACGCCACCCTGTCTGTGGTTCTTGCAGAGCAGTATGGTTCCAAGTATTTAATTTAAAGGAAAATTTAATATTGATTATCACGATAACTTTTGTCCCCTCTTCCAATTTAAGAGAGAAAGAAAATGAGGGATGGAGGCGTTTGAAGCCCAGGGAAGTGTCCAAGAAGGCCAACCTGCCAAAGTCCAGACATTCCCGGGCCCTCTCATACCTCCAAGTCGTTAATTAAGCAAACTCCGGGCCTCCAGCTTTGTGGCTTCGTTTTCCGACTCAGCTAAATGATGATAACGGCCCTCCCAGATTATAAACGGAGTATTGATCAGCTTCTGAGTCTTCAGACGAGCTAACCTTGCTTGCAGAATTACACTGTACCTGAAGCTGGAGAAAAATGGCCTGGTTGTCAACACTCGCCCATCTGCAAAGGTTACTTTTTGCACAGAATTTGGAATTAAATTGCCAAGTCATCATTCATGAGCAGGAGTTGGGCTTGTTCCTGCATTTTCTTCCATCTCCTTTAACCGTCTGATTTTATATATTGTGTCTCTGTCAGGAAGGCCAGATCAATAAGCAGGAGAGGAAAAAAAAAGGCAAGAACTCTTGGAATCACTAGCTGAACCGCCCACTGCTTCTCAGCTGCCCTTTAGTCATCCGTTAGCGGTAAGATTCTTTCTCCTCCTTGTCTTCCCTACCATTCCTTCAGTCCAGACATTCCTGGACTACATTCCTGGGTGTGAATTTCTCTGCTTTCCAGTTTGACATCATGAACTTCTTTAAGATAGGACCCAGACATATAAATACTTAGAAGATGATTATCAAAGGCATGAGACACCAGGCAAATACATTTTAAAGTGAGAATATTGTTAATGATGGATGAAAATTCATTCAGTCCTGACTTGTTGCTGAAAATTTCATTCAATCTCTACTTTGTTGCTGATGCAGGTGTCTGTACATTTTACCTCTCAATGCTTGTTCTCCTCCCCCAAAATATAATGCCTATAAAAAAATTAATATTTTTGCCTTGTCTAATAAATTAAAAGTCATGGATTTATTTTTTGGTCAGAACTCTAGGCCCAAAGTTTCCCAAACAAGTGCCCCATATTAATTGTGCAGGGGATGAGTGTGTGTGTGTGTGTAGTACTTTTAGCCTGTTGTTGCACCATAAAAACAAGAGCAGGATGTAATGTCACTAATTTCTCAGGATTTGTTGACTTAAAAGAGGCTACTGTGAGTCTAGAAAATTCGCTTTAGGGGAGGGGGTCGGGGAAGCACCTCACAGAGAAAGGCAACTGTTCCCCAGAACAGCTGCAGATGCTGGCAGTGGAATTGCTTGGCGCCAGTACAACTCGGTGCAGCAAGAGGGATTTATTTATTTAACAATAGTTAATGATTCTCCCAACAACTCCCAGGAGCCCAGCTAGCAGTAAATATACTTTCAGGAAATCGTCTCCCCTTCCTAGAAGCATGCACCAACCCTACAGTGAAGGGAGCTTCCTGGCTGTCCACACAAAATAACTTTCAGTGGACTGCCCAGCTTCTGATGCCCCCAAACCACTTCCTCCACAGTCTGCCACAGCCCTGCCTTCCCCAGCATGAAATGCTCCCTAGGAAAGTTATCAGGTCCTAAAGCAGAAAAATGCACCATTTCTGGAAGGTCACCATCAAATAGACTAGTTACCTGGGAATCGAGGTGGGCAGTCCAACCCTGTCCCATTAGCTAAATTTATCAGGTTAGCTAGTTGGTGCCCATAGACTAGCATTTTCATAAAGTGGTATTTATTTATAACTGATGGTTCTTGTGATAATGTTAGGTGGTACTTGAATAACATTTTTTATTTCAATGCTCAGGTTTTTTTCTAATACACATAACTAGCATACCAAACCCATGGTATCACAAATATAATTACTTAGGGTGAGGCTGAGTTTTTTTGTTTTTTTTTTTAAGTCAATTTAAAGAGAAAATAAAAGTAAGAGGATAGCAAAAATAGTTGTAACTGTTTTGGAATTCTTAAAATATAAAAAGAATCCCATTTTAACATGCTGTTAAAAATTACTGGATTTAAGAAAGTCTGATCAGGCAAGACAGAGCCCCTGCTCTGGGCCATGTTGGGGAGCGGGGGCAGTGGGTGTTGGGTGGCAGAACAGGCACGTGAGGAGAGTGCACCCAGGACTCTGAGCACCCAGGGTGGGTCCCCACAAGGGAAAGACAATCTGAGACCTTTTTGCCTTTTTTGCAAGAGGCAGAATCCAACAAATCACTCATATCACTGATGAAAGTTGGGACAGTACAAGAGCAATTATCCCCGAAGTCTCTTTGAGGCTTATTTCCAAAACAACTGGAGAGTTCTATACCAGAAATGTTCCCGATGCTTTAAGGAAGGCTGCTTATTAGAATAGTCTCCTTTTCTCTTTGTCACTTGATTGTAAATTAGGGATTACCTTCACACCAGCTCTAAACATACACACGCCACCACCCTCACTGCCGCACTGTGCACACTGACTGACACTACCCCAGGGATCCACAAAAGGATTCTTACACGCTTCAGGAAGTCTCTCCTTTGTCGATTGTAGTTCATCAGGTTCTCATATGCTGGCTTTTTCATTTTCACATCTAGCATGAAGAGACAGAAAGCCAGTGTTTAAGTGCTTGTGGTAAAGAGAGTCTACCATAGTCTGAATAAATGAGATGTACTGATATTCCTAAATCGTTTTGTGTGTGTGTGTGTGTGAGGAAGGTTAGCCCTGAGCTAACATCTGTTGCCAATCCTCCTCTTTTTGCTGAGGAAGACTGGCCCTGGGCTAACATCCGTGCCCATCTTCCTCTACTTTAT